GATACCTCCGTGCGCCGCGCTGGGAAGATCGTAGTTCACGACGTGGAGCACGTTGATCACATCGAGTCCACGAGCAGAGACGCCAGTAGCGATCATGACGGGACACTTCGCAGATCGGAAGGCACGCCTAATTTGGTGGGTCAGCAAAGCAAAATAAAAGAGCGCAGGGAACAAATACTCACATCGCATCCTCACGCTCACGCTGAGTCCGTCCACCGTGAATCGAGGTGGTGGGCATTCCAGAGTTGTAAAGGTAATCATCGACAAAGTCAACCTGATCCTTGCTGTTGACAAAAATTAAGGTGCGAACAGGAGGCATGCTGATCAGAAGGTCATAGACGGCGCGCATCTTCTTGTCCTTGTCAACCCAGACGATCTTCAAGTTTCACTAAGCGTTAGCTGGAATTCCACAAGGTTTCTCCCAATCTCAGTGGTTCACATACATCCTGCACAACATTGTGGTGCGAACTGCCGGCTCGGCCAACGCGAAGGCGCACATGGTCCTGGCTGAGGTATTGCTTTGCAAGTTTCCGGAAGTCCTTGTTGAAGGTAGCGGAGAACATCAAGTAACGGTGATCATCATCCTCGTTGATATCTTCCTCAAGTTAGCAACACTGAAACGCATAAAGGTGGGGTCAAGAGAGCGCCATGGCAAACACTTACCTCCTCCAGACATGATCTTCTTAAACTCGTCCTCCCAGTCGGATTCGAGCATCTCATCCGCCTCGTCAATGACGGTGTATCTGAAACCTCATTAGTATCCAATACCTATGGATGCATATCAAGTGAGTTGCAATCATACCTAACGCGGCGCAGAGAAAGAACATGGGTCTGTGCCATGAAATCGAGAAGACGGCCAGGAGTGGCAATCAGAATGTCGCATCCTTTCTGAAGCTCCTCACGCTGGACGCGAGTAGGGGCACCGCCATAGACGACACACGGACGCAGCATGGAGCGGTAGCACAAACGACGCGCTTCATCAAAGATCTGAGTGGCCAACTCTCGAGTGGGGCAGACGATCAGAACCAGCGGCTCTGCTCGAACAGCATCCTCCCGGAGGCTAAAGTTCGCCGTGGTGTTAGGACGAGGAGCAGCCAGCTTTCTCACCTTGCCCATCAACTTGGAAAGAATCGGAATGAGGAAGGCCCCCGTCTTTCCAGAGCCTATGAATATTTTGTTAGGACCAACTTGTGTCAAACATCAGACTGCGCAACACATACCAGTTTGAGCGACTGCAATAAGATCAAGGTTGGCTAGAACAGCCGGGATTGCATAAGACTGCACTGCAGTAGGTTGGTCATAGCCGCAGAGACGAATGTTGTCGAGCATGACCGGATGCAAGCCAAAGTTTGCCCACTATAGATCGTTAGACTGGAAACCTGTCGCTAACTCATCTCGCAGACTGACCTCGGTAACTGCCTTGATCTCGTTAGGACTTTCAATGTTGACCTTGTATCTGTTCAACCTGGAGAAGAAGTCATGTTAGATATCAAGTTGATGTCCCATCGGATATGTCACTTACTCGTCGAGCTTGGCGCCAGCGCGAGTAATCAGCTCGCCATGGAAAAGCTGGTCCTCCAATTCAGGGACGGCTGGGCCGACATCGCCGTAGTCATCCTGCCATTCGTAACGGGCAGCAACTCCAGCCCAGTCACGATGATCCTTGCTGTTAGCAAGCTCAGCATACTCGAAAGGAACTGGATCAGTCCAGCCCTTGTCACGAGCGACCTTTTGAGCAGCCTCGGGGTTAGGACCGACACCAGAAAGAACGCCAGCAGGCGCCTCTTCAGCGACGGAACCATGAGCAGAAGCAACATCAGCGGCCAAGACGGAGCCAGCAACTGAGCCAATGGCTGAGCCAGCAACTGAGCCGGCAGCCGAGTCGGCAGCCGAGTCGGCAACCGACACAGCATCAGGCTCGTCGTAAGATGAATCCATTGTCTACGAAAGTGTCTCAGATGATTGTGGTCAAGAGAGGCGATGAGGTAGAGAACAGGGTGGTGGGGAGAAGAGGAAAGGAAAAGGAAATGGGCGACCGTGGGGTTTTATTTCTGTGCAAGAGCAAACGCAGAAACGCGTGTAGGGCTTAAACAAAGTGAATATGGCGCGCATTGCTTTGTCGGTCGCCGACTCAACGAGTACTCGATTGGTGACTGCGATATTGCGGGAAGTCCGAAGTATAGGGAAGTGAACCGGATGTACCTTTCCCGACTAGGAAGGAGCGATCCAGGTATACTTGCACCCTCATACAATTTACTACTGGTATGGATGTATATAGTCTAACCTTTGCTACTATTGTGCTAACCATTGAGCTTAGCACTTTGATATATGCAGAGTAGTTTGCTTTAACATTTAATATCAACCGTCTTTCACCTACTTTGTCTTTCTATACATTCACTCAATATATGCACCTATACTCATGCTATATACTATATCGGTTTTAAGTACTTCATTCTCGATTCTGAATGCGACCTTATGAAAGAAAATGGGCTCCTTCTTAGCAGCATATATATACTTGCTAACCATTGAGCTTAATATTTTGAGATCAAGCCGTCATTCACCTACTTTGTCTTTCAGCTACATATTCTACTGATATATGCACCTATACTCGTGTTAAACCGGTTTAAGTAGTCATTCTCAATCCTGAATATGAGCTTATGAAAGAAAGCAGACTCCTTAGCACCATGTGTATACTTCCCCAGGCTATCCATTAGGGCACGATCGACAAACCTCGAGACGTTAGCTCCTCGGCTTCCCAGGGTGAGAAAGTGGACCCTCCCGTAGCCCGTTTCGGGTAGAAGGAGATATACGCAGTAAGCCTGGGAACGGGTATCCTCTTCATCTCCAGTGATTCCACCTAGGTAACCCCTGCACCACACTCACCATGGCCTCCGAACGAATGGAGGTCGATACCAATGCTCGCCGCAAGCGTCCGAACCGCTTGGAAGCTGCCATCACCAATCCCGGCGCTGTCAAAATCAACGTCACGGGCGCATTCATTGTCGACGACGAACCCCGATCCAAGAGTCCCGTCGAAGCAGAGGGCGTACACTATGAGAACAAGGACATCCGACTTCCGCATCATACAGGCGTCGTGAGCCATGTGGCTGTCGATGTGAGTTGCCCGGAATTTATTTTCTCTCGTGCCCCGCACTGCGACCGGTTCCCCCGCAATCTAGCGGCCTGCAGATAATTTGTTCACGATGCTAGAAGAAGGCATGGCTAATACGGCATTGGGACCTGGTAGATTGGCGGAACACTTGCGAAGCTTGTTTATTTCACTCGAGAGCTGGAAACCGCGGACAACGGTGGCCGGCTCAATTTCCTCAATTTTGAAACCCACCGGATCGATCTGTGCATCAACTTCATTCGACATCTTAAGGAGGAACACGAGAAGCGCAATGGCTCGACACGGGAGGGACTATGTGTGGTAGCTACTGGGGGTGGTGCATACAAATACTACGATCGGCTGAAAGAAGAATTAAACGTTAATATTCTACGGGAGGAGGAGATGGAATGTCTGATCATTGGTAGGTCGTGGAACCTGCGCAAGCATAGAGCATACTATCTAACATCTCCAAAAGGACTGGACTTTTTTATTACCGAAATTCCCAACGAAGTCTTCACTTACAGCGACGCCGATGCTGAGCCACTGCAATATGCCGAAGCTCGGCCCGATGTCTATCCTTACCTCCTCGTCAATATAGGATCAGGTGTGTCGATGATAAAAGTCTCCGGTCCGAGGCAATTCGAGCGTGTCGGTGGAACACATCTCGGTGGTGGAACGTTCTGGGGCATTATGTCGTTGTTGACCGGCTCCCGGACCTTCGACGACATGCTAGCAATGGCCGACCGCGGAGACAACAGTGCAGTGGACATGCTTGTTGGAGATATCTACGGCATGGACTACACCAAGATTGGTTTGAAGAGCACAGCTATTGCCAGTACTTTTGGGAAGGTGCTGCGGTTGAAAAACGATGCCGAACAAGTGGCCGAGGACGGCGAGGGCTTGATTCGCGACGACCCCAGTGAAGCTAGCGAGTCCAACCATGGAATCAAGCCCAAACCGGAAGATATGAGCAGGAGTCTCCTCTATGCCATCAGGTATGTTTCATTATTTCCATTCTTATTTCCATTCTTATTTCCATTCTTATTTCCATTCTCCGACGGTCTCCGTACTAACCCGGATTAGTAATAATATTGGTCAGATCGCATATCTGCAGTCAGAAAAACACTCAGTGAAGCATATTTACTTCGGAGGCTCATTCATTCGGGGCCACCGGCAAACGATGAACACCCTCTCCTACGCCATCCGCTTCTGGTCCAAGGGCGAGAAGCATGCGTATTTCCTGCGCCACGAGGGCTACCTAGGCGCCGTTGGTGCCTTCATCCAACGGCAGCCGCAGAACTGGGGCCGCAGAAACAGTGTTGACGACGTTGTCGCACCGCAGGCGGTCCGGAACATCGTTCAAAATAGCCATGTCCTTCAGCAACATGGCAGGTCGTCCAGTGATCTATAAAATTTGTGCCAGACTAAACCATTGTGACCCTACCCTCTCTTTGCTTTGAGTCCTGATACCCCTTGCAAGCAATCTTTGAACTACCAATGTTGTGCCGAGTTCTTTTGTGCACCCAAAGTGGCTGCTTTAATTGGCCACCTGTGAAAAACCAACGTGGCGATTCCGGGCATTTGTGCATGTTGTACATTTAGATCTATCTGAAGCCTTCTAGCTTCCTGTTTGAATTTCAAACATGTTCGGTTATCATGTTAGAGAAATAAATCTCATATTTCATTCCTTTTCCGGGCGTGTACCTTGACATTCGCCTATGCGAGATTGTCCAATGCGAAGACTGCCAACGCAAAAAGACAGATGAGCTATTGATGGATGAGTTATTCATCCAAGGAACGGTATACGGGAGCTGCGACATTTCTTCGCCAATCGACCATATTTCAACGTCCGCTGAAGACGGGCAGAGGCATCTGCTCCCGGGACCAAGAGATGGTATTCAGCGACCACCTAAGTGACGCCAATAGGCTTGCACAGTGGAGCCTATGCCACCCAAACATCCGTCCAGCTCCAAACTTGCCATTCCATGAGAAGATCGAGTTCGATAAAAACGGTGACTTTCTTACGCCACCGCCTGGTGTTGCTCTATCGGATACCCTAGTCTTCCTGGCCATCACATACAGCGTGCCCATCCGCCAGCGCAATGCAAAGTGGCCGGCTGATTTTCATACCGACGGGGACGTTTACTCGGAGAGGCGGCCGAGGGGATGTACCGTTGTGCTTTGGGCTTTGGGATTGTCGTTTATCCGGAGCTGGACCTCGGAACGGATGTCTCCCATCAGTCCTTCCTGGCGGGGTAGCTCTCTCTTCGCAAGTTGCCACAATGGTACCTCATCCACCGTTTGATCCAAGATATCGCACGAAGAGTCGGCTTCTGTCTTCAGGCTCGGGGCTTTCCCTTAGATGATGAACAAGGGAAGCTGTGCCAGCCGAATATCGACGTCAAGCGAGGGCTATCTGCACTTGGTAGGTGTGATTGATCCCTTTTGGCAATCCTGGAACAAAGATTAGCTTGCGCGGTATATCTCGAGGTTTTGCCATCAGATTTGATTTGTTTCGTAGGCTTGATCATCTTCCTACCTAGCTATAACGCTGAAATGTAGGAAAAGATATCAAACAAAGACGTCTCTTCTAAAAAGACATCTTGAAAGACATTTAACACGACATATTGAATAGTCATTCTTGGTCTACAATGTAAAACATCACGTTAGAGAGACAATGATCTCGCCTCAGTTCTCTCAGTTTGCATCTGATAATGGATTGCTTGTGTTTGCAATGCATGTGATGTTGTCTAGGTGATTCCCATTTTTACTTTCCTGATAAATTGTTTGTTCCTGTCCGCTGTCACCTAAGTCTCACTTTCACATTCATTTGTGCGTCTCACATTCACTCTTATTACTGTTGCTTCTCGTGTATTTCCCCGCGCGTCTTTCTACCTTTTACTTGACTATTCTATCCTTATTCTTACCAATACGGAGGACTTCTCTCAACTTAAAAGCCTCATGGCGCAATCTCCGGCTGCTCAGGATGCATCTCGTGTGTCGCCTTTCCAGGTTGAGGTGACCGAGTATGCTTCTCCGGACTCTGTTCTCGAAGCACCGGAAGAAACCCACGCACGACTACGAACTTCAACGCCATCCGATCTCACTGAGATGGACGAGTCGATGCTGGAAGATCCGTCGGATACTGCCACGGTATTACAGTCAGTCTCGACGGAAAGTCATTTCATCAGTTCTACAGCCCCGCGTGTCAGCTACGAAGTCTCCGCGTCTGGTGAACTCATGATAACGGAAGGAATCCAAACTTCCAACCCAACCACACCTGCTCGTGGGCCCCGGCCTAGTCCTCCTCCTGCATTCGTATCCTTCGATAGGCTTGCCCAGGGATTACCGCCAAAGCCGGCATCATCATCTACCACAGCAACAACTCACCCTCCATCCCTGTCAGTCGAGCGCCTCATCGGCCCAAAGCAGCCGATCCCCGCGCGAATCCTCGATCTTCTTGAGCAATGGCATGAGGTTGAACCCAACACCGAGCATCCCGCTGCTCTGACTGGCCGTGCTCCGTCAACATGGAAGAACTTCAGGGCTTTCAGTGATGATGCTGACGAGTGCGAGCTATCAGTCTTCCAGATATTGCTCAAATGTCAAAACCGACGCATCCTCTCGTACCGCATTATGATACTTCATTCCCAGAATGGACCAGAGGAGCTCGTCGTCTTCGGCCAACCCCGGCCGAAGTTCAAGGGACCCTGGAACAAGGGTGTCAAGGGGCTGTACCTACTAGACTGGTCGGAAATCGAGAATAAAGGAGAGGTTCGGGCGTGCGGTATCAAGCTGTGGAGAACCGATGACAAGAATATTGCGTTCAGTGCGTACATGTTTGACGATGGACGAAAGTGCACCCGGTTCCTCGATCACAATGCTGGGAATAAACAAGTCTCATCTTCTACTCCCAAGAAACAGCCTGACGGAAATGAGCATGTCGAGGATACCCAGTCCACCTCATCCGAGCCACCGTTTTCCCCCTCGAGATCTGGACACCAAATTTCCAGCAGTCTTCTCAGAGCTGAGAATGAAGCTGAATACAGAACCCCACGTGCCTCACGGTGGGATTACCCTCCCCCCATGTGGGCTAAGCCCATCTCACTCATCCCTACTTCCAACAATTACGATGGATTCCGTTCTCTTGCGAGCCCTTGGAACCCCCAAAAAAGGCGCCGTAGCTCATGGAGCTCCAATGACCAAGAATCCGACCCTATTCGCTTCAAGTTGATGTCGGACGTGTCTGATCAAGTCCGCGTCTTCAAGACACATGACGCGAAGGTGTTGTTTGAAAAGGCCCGGGAGTTCTACAAGGGCGTGGACAGCCGCACAGGACTGTTGTGTACTGTTTCTGGTCTCGAGGGAGTCAGATACGTGGGGGATGGGTGTGTGGATGAATTTGATATCCTTCAGGAGGATATTCGGAAGTCTTCTGGTGGCGATGAAGATCGCGTTGTTGAGGTGAAGCCCGCAATGGGCTTCTAGATGGCCAGTTGAAATGGGCTTGTGGGATTGTGTGTGGCGGTAACTTTGGCCGATCTCTGCTTCTCGTCTTTCTTGATGTGGTTGACCTAGTGTGGTGGTTGGCCTGATGGCCATTGTGGTGATTTCGGCCAGTTTATTCTGCGTCGGAAAGCTTCATCCAAATCTTTTGTATTTCGCCTGTGCGTGTATGTATGCGTGCCTAATTCAAAAAAATGCAAAAAAAAATACATTTGTCAGATTATCTCATGGCCCATATAGTCATCTAACAACATCCCTCTCTTCATTAATCGTGTCAAAATGAGGGGGGTTCTCAGAATTCATTATCCTAGGCATGTTTACTATTTCTTCCAAGGTTAATGTCTAGATAGATGACTGTCTTGATACTTTTTGGTGCCTTTTATATAGTTATTCCTTGGCATAGTCTACGTTAATGTCTAATATATATCTTTGAAATGAACAAGTTGTATATAAGCTGGGATGGGATATGCATCTTTGACCTCGCTATACCGGGATATACAAGCTAAATAAAACCTACACATTTGAAATTCAAAACATTTGAGGCCTTCTATCCCACTAAGAAGCGAAGCCCAACGACTCGTCCAACCTCGTACACCAAGGGCTGACATGGTCACGTGCGGGTATAGCTCACTGCTGAATCAGCATCTAGATGTACGCGGGTTGCGCTCTCGTCGACAACAGCCGTCACATCTACTTCACACATCGGGCTTAGTTTCTTCTTGCACCATGCCGCGACGCTAGTTCTACCTTTGCCCGATGACGTCTCCTCCTTCGCTAGACTCCTTCCCTCCTCCGATCCCCGTCGACACCCATCCCAACCGCGCCCCGGAGTCTCCTGAGCTCGAACGGTCCCTCCCCGACCCCAATCGACTAGCGCCCGAGGATGCGTACTTCGCAAACCCACTCTTGCGCGCCCGATCGGCGCCCAGCAACTACCCGGAAAATTTACGGTCGTTGAACGGCGATAGCAGTGTGCATATTGGGTCTGCCGCGGCGTTGCGCAAGAAGTTGGGCGGTGCTGGACGGCGTCGGAAGCGGAAGGGTGCTTGGAAGAAGTTGCTATGGGTTAAACAATCGTGTATGTCTGCATGTGGGCCGAGGCCCTGTACAGGGCTTGGGCTTAGTGTTGCGCTGTTGCTGACGGCCGATTCATAGATCCGGATAACTATACCGATACGGAAACGTTTCTAGACCACCTCCAGCGCAATCCCCGAGTGCGGCCGTATGACTTCTGGCCTCTGGTGGCTGATTCAACTGTGATTGTGCAGCATGTGTGCTCGGTGGTCATCTTCGTTTGCTGCTTCGTCGGCATTGTCCAAGATCGAGTGAGCCCTGTCTCGATTGTCTGCTGGGGGAGTGTTGGTACGGCCGTGGGCTGGATTCTGTGGGATAATTGGATCTGGAACGAGCATCAGGAATCCGTGCAAAGTGCAGATGGAATTACTGGAGGTGATGATGGATCCAGTTCGACTTCATTTGCTAGCCCCATCGATACACCCTCTAATGACACACAATCCGATGATCCGAAGACGAATGCCATTCATGGCCTGGGGCTGTCTATTTCCGGGAATGAATCGAAAGAGCAATTAGCCCGCCGCAGTGCGGATTTCAGCGAAAGCATCGAGGCTGTGGCTCATTTGACAACGCAAAGTGCTGTACCGTCTGGCCCGGGCAGCTCCATTGTTGGCACTACGGACCCGTCGATATCGCAATATACCCACCGCGTTTCGATGCTATCACCGCGCAACCGCCAGCGCTTGACTACAGTCAAGTCGGCCTTCCTTATTTACTTCGCCCTCCTGGGCCTCAGTCCCATCTTGAAATCTCTTACCAAGTCCACCGCCAGCGACTCTATCTGGGCGATGAGCTGTTGGCTTTTAATCATGAATATATTCTCTTTCGACTACGGGAGCGGGGAAGGCGCAGGCGCCACCACGAAATTCCCTGCTTCTTTGTCCACGAACGCAGCTGTGATGGCATCGACCGTGCTTGCGTCCCGGCTACCGTCCACGACACATGTGTTCAGTCTCATGCTGTTCTCGATGGAAGTATTCGGGCTATTCCCCATCTTCCGGCGCCAACTGCGACAGAAATCCTGGACTGGCCATGTGCTCCTGACACTGACCCTTGTGATCGTTGCCGGTGGTGCTGTTGGTGTCACGCTGAGTGGCGGATGGGCAGCAGCCATAATTGGATCAGTCCTGGGAAGCATCTTGACCGCATTTGTCATGGGCGGGTGCAGTTGGTGGCTTATCAGCTTGCAAAAGTACAAGAACGTTGTGATCGGTCCCTGGGACCCTGCTCGGCCGATCATTCGGCGTCACTGGAACTAAGCCCACATGTGATGACTTTTAGCGCCATTGTAATATAGTTTGTCGGCGTTTGGTTGGATCTTCTTGTTGCTTATACCCCTTGATCAGTCTATCCATTTGAAACATCGTGGAGGTTTCAACTGCCTTTTCCGTGTGTCAGTTTTGCCACGGCTCAAGCCGGTGCTCGTAGAGTCAGATCCTGACGTGATTCATATTCTTCAAAGAATACTTCCAGAAATCCTGGGCATCAAATCCGGTTTTCATTTCAATGATCATTGGGTTCAAATAAGGGGGGAATGCGGGTTCAAGAGGAATGCAAGACACATCTGGCATACTAACCTTGTACATTGTCCACCGTTGAACTTGCCGCCATATACCTGCGAAGGAAAAGCGTTTGATATTTGAAACGTCTCAATCAGGGTCATGGACCCTTAATCTATTTTTGTCCATTGTCATTGGGGGCAGTATCTCGTTCGAACAGCCTCAAGGGACTTGGCATTCCGCAGCCACTCATTTAGCGCCTAGAACCCTTTTTTTCCCCAGGGGGCTTTCTGACTCCATTGATTGACCAGACAGCTGGACAGTGATACGACATTCCCAAACGGAATGGTCCACATGCCCCGCATGTACAGAGACACATGTTCGACGGCCCTGAGACGATTATCCTGGCATGTCTTTGTGCAGAACTGGAATATAAACCCGACCTTCTTCTGTTCCTGTTGTCTGTCTCTATTCTTCCTTCTGTTTACTTTGTTCGCGGCTTGAAGCTGCTTCTCGACTCTCAACGACAGGCTGGATATCTATTTATACATTCTTTCCTGATCCCTGGATCTGATAAACATATCGTAACGACCGTCATCTAATTGATTCCCATCATGTTAAAACGACTCGCACTTGGCCTGCTGGCCGCTCAGTCCGTGGCTGCCACACGGTTTGCCATGTACATCGACGAGTTAGTACAAACTTGCGGAATTGATCTACATACCCTGAACCCACAGCTAATACTTACCCAAGATACCATGTAACCGCTCTCCCGGGCCAGAACCAGACCGAGGGCATCGACTATGCAATCATGAGCTTCGCTGCCTCGACGCTATTCAACTCAGACTCGCCCGCAGCATACAAGCCATTTGAGTCTCCCGAGACCATGCGCAAGCGCTTCAGCTCCGGTACCAAGCTAATGGTCGCTATTGGCGGCTGGGGTGACACCGCTGGCTTCTCCGATGGAGCAAAGGACGCGGCTTCGCGCACGCGATATGCCAAGAATGTCGCTTCCATGCTCGACGCAAATGGATTCGACGGTGTCGGTAAGATATCCCAACAATCCGTTCTGGATATAAAAGAAGAAGCAAGGTACTAACCTATATGAACAGACATTGACTGGGAATACCCTGGCGGTAACGGCCAAGACTACAAAGACGTGCCTAACTCGAAGAAAGTGGACGAAATCGAAACCTACCCTCTTTTCCTCGAAGCTGTCCGCAAAGCAATCGGCAACAAGACCCTCTCTATCGCAGTGCCCGGCCGTAAGCAGGACTTCATTGCCTTCACTAAGGAGCAGGGTCCGAAGATCTTCAAGTCTGTCGATATGGTCAATGTCATGTCCTACGATCTGATTAACCGCCGCGATAACGTTACCGGCCACGCTAGCGGTGTCCAGGGATCCTTGGATACCATTAACGAGTATCTAGCCATCGGGGCTGATCCCGCAAAGCTCAACCTTGGCTTCGCGTACTACGCGAAGTGGTTTACCACCGACCCCAACTCCGATTGTGATGAGAACCCTCTCGGCTGCCATCTCGCCAAGCTCGAGAACGACGATGGAACAGACAATGGCAAGTCCGGTGCTATGACTTTCGAAGCTAGCACTGCTGCTGCGGCGCCTAAAGATCTGAAGCAAAGCACTGATGGATTGTGCGGATTTGGAGCGAAGGCCAAGTGCCCATCAGGACAGTGCTGCAGTTCTTCCGGCTACTGGTATGCATAATCATCAATTAATTCCGATTAGTGTCTAGACTAACCTCCTACAGCGGTACTGGCGATGATTTCTGTCAGGCTGGGTGTCTCTCAGACTACGGTACCTGCAAGGGTATCTCCATCACCGACTCATGGCGCAAAGCCCAGAAAGACGGCAAGACCGATGAGAAGGGTGGTGGTCAGTACTACTTTGACAGCGATAATAACCTCTTCTGGACCTGGGATACACCCGAGATGATTGCCCGCAAGTTCAAGGAAATTGTCGCGGAGAAGAAGCTTGGTGGTGTCATGGCTTGGAGCTTGGGCGAGGATACCTACAAGTTTGAGCACTTGGAGGCTATGCAGAAGGGTCTCAAGTCTCACTCTCCCAAAGTTGCGGAGCCCCCAATGACCGACAGAGACTGTGCCTAGTAGCTAGATGCAGTTATCATTGATGGTGAGTCGGAGTTGGAGCTAAGCTTGTGAAATATACCAAATTGCTTTTACTGTCTATTCGATTCCCCTTTTTTGCATTATTTTATCTCTATTGCTCATATATCTACACCATTAATGTCCCCATAGTCATCTTACTATCTCTCTTCGGCTGGATGTCGTGGTAAAATTCAAATCACCATCATATTCGCTATTTGCTATTCATTCGGTAGTCCACCGACCCATCCATGACTCAATATACCTCTGTACCAAGCCACCGGCAACGGGATCCTCAACACGTGCAAGATATGGGCAGTCCTGAACCGTCCGCTCAGTCTCGAAAGTAAGACCAGCGTCTTCGATCCTCCCTGGTCCTGTCTCTGACAGGCCATGACTTGCATACTTAGCCGTCCAGAAATCGATGAGCTTCATGCTCGGATTTTTCTCCGGGTCCTGCTCACTACTCGCCAATCTCCTCAGCCACTCCTGCGGAGATACAACCTCAAACTCCGGCAAGGTCGATCCATCCCTCAGAGCAGGAAGCAAATCCTCCTTCCAGCTAAATGTCCGCGGATTAACCAAATGGTACACCATATTGGCATCGGAAGATTCAGCGACATTCATGGCGATATCCGAAATAGCCCGAGCACACTGATCAACAGGCAGCCAACTCAGCCGCTCATTCAGCTCTGGCAATGCACCAGTCGTCAATGCACTTCGGAACATAAGCGCAACAGCTTCCGTTTCATTCCATTGCGCGCTAACCGTATCGCCACCAAGCTGACCGATTCTCAGAACGCGAGCTTGCATGCCCGTCTGCCGCATAGCGTTACGGGTGATGTGTTCTGTAACCAGCTTCGACCTGCCATATCCCATTTTCTGTGCGTGCTCCAAGTTCTCCAGTATCGTCTCGGGAATCGATGCGGGTTTGGGTGTGTTGCTTGCAGCGCTTACACTGGAGCAGAAGAAGAAGCGCGCAGGGGACGGTAGGAGGGAGCGTAGGCAGAGATTGATGAGGTTGTGTGTTCCGCGTATATGCTGTTGCTCGAAGGACCGTACGCCTAGGTTGAAGTTCACCGCCCAGGCACTGTGGATGACGCATGTCAAGGATGACAGTAAGTGTTGCAAATCGTGGTCTTTGAGACCGAGGTTCGACTGTGACAAGTCACCGGGGACGGCGTGAAGCTTTGCGGCTTCGGCATCGGTGAGAGTGATGTTGCGATCGGCTAGTGATTTGTAGAGACGAGCTCCTGCCGCTGCTTGTCCTGGTGCGCGCACGATTGCCCAGACTTCGGAGACTGTTGGTCGCCTTAGTAATTCCGAGACGACGAAGGCTCCCAGGTTGCCGGTTGCGCCGGTGACCACCACAACCTCTGTTTCTGGGCTTTGGGTGATGGTTGGGAAGTGTTGAGTGAAGTGGGAGTACTTTTCGATCATTTCGCGCATGGAATCAAGCTCATCTTCCTTCTCGGATTCTTCACCAGTTCGCAGCTGATAGAGGTGCTTTGCAAGTGCCTTGACAGTGCCTTTTTCGAACACAATGTTCTGGGAAAGCTGATCTCCTCGCTCGGCGATATCAATATCGCGCATGATGAACCTCCAGATTTGTGTTGTCTGCAAGCTGTCCACTCCTGCCGAGAAGATGTCGGCTTCGGCATCGGGTATTGGTACGCCCAAGTCTTCCCTGAATCTTGAAAGCAGCCAATCCTCCAGTTCTGAGACATTGAGTGAGAGGGAACCTCCTTTCTGGCCACTCCCCTCGAACTTGGCATATACCTGCTTGATATCCTCCTCAAATTGCTGATAAACCTGACCTCGTATACAGGTTCCTTTATCAGTTCTGGGGTATACAACATCAGCACCCTTAATTATGACCAACTCCTTTGGGATACGGGAGAATGTCTCGGCGCGAGAATTTGCTACTTCAACCGCTGGCCAGATAGCTTCCAAAAATTCCTCGTCGCTCAAGTGAGGCACCTTGCCAGGAGCACGGAAGATTAATGCACCAGGCACCGTCCGCTGGAAGCCGAACACAACGCAATCACTTACGATAGGCTCTTCTCTAACGCGACCCTCAATAGGAATAGGAAGCACCTTTTCACCATTGACCAGCGTGATTCGATCATCAAGCCGACTCAAATACTTGTAATAATTGCTCTTCGCTGGATCCGGGTGTCTGGTGAACAAATCGGCTGTTCTGAAAGAGTTTTCTGGGTTCTTCGCGCTATACGGTGGCTTTGAATTTGACGGACCCTTGCTCGGCAGGCCGTCCAATGCAACACATTCAAAAACCCCAGGCGAGATCTCATCCATTAGAGTGAGGTCGGCAACGGGACGATGCAGTCGTGTATACTGCCACTCTTTATCTTCCGGAGCTCGGAAAGAAGTCATGATTTGTCCTGTCTCCGTTGCTCCATAGTTGGCAACTAGATTCACGCCCTGTGCCACAAGACGGTCACCAAGGTCGTCTGGGCAGCTGGAGCCACCATATAGCACAAGCTGCGGTCTGGCTAGTGCTTGGATACCTTCTTGCTTCTCTGCCAGTAGTTTGATGACATATGGCACGGCACTGATTTGCTGTGGATGTGCCACCTGGAGCGCATCGAAAAGATTTTGGTATGTGACTGGAAGAGAATGGTTTCCCAGGTACGCTGTCGCTCTTGTAAAAAATGCTCGTCCAAACTCCATCAGAGCATGGGAGTGGAAGAGTGGGCTGATAGTGAAGAGGCGTAGGCCGAAGCTCTTGCGGAAATTGGCTAGAGTTTGAAGGTTGGTAAGGAAAATCGGCTTCGGGAAACCGGTACTCCCAGAGGAATGTAGGATCCAAGCAATCTTCTTGCCTTCTCGTGATGGATCCGCACCCGGGCGTTCAAATAGAGGCGTGCTAACAAGCCGATTGAACCAGTCCTCTCTTTGTAGTAGAGAGAAGCTACCGTAACCAGGACGCTCGGTACAAATTTCAGTTACAACTTGCTGAAATTGCTTCGTGTTGATAATCTGGTTGCAATTTGCCATCTCCATTAGCCGGGCATAAGCCGGGGCTGTAAGACGTGTAGACAAGAAAAGCACAGCATAGCCAAGACGATTCAGCGCGAAGAAAGTCACCATGACCTCAAAGCTAGACCCAGCTAGCATAGCAATAACAGGCGCCTGATCGAGCCTCGGGTCCTAGGGCATAATTAGTCTAGGTTGACACAGAAAAATGGCTTTCTTCTTACCGCGGGTAGGAGACCTTGCTTCATGTAAAAGCGAACAGCGATATCAGTATACCGATTGATGTCCCCGGCTGTATGCTCTTCGAAATCAGCCGCTTCACGAACCGGATAGCATATCAAAGGCCTTTGTGCTTCATCTTGCTGAGCGGCATGGGATTTCAATAGACCATCGATGGTGGCGAACTGTTCAAACGCTGGCCACTGGGAATGAAGCGTCCCGTTTAACAGGCGAGTCGCGATATCTTTCTGGAGTGGCTCCACGCCCCCTTGGGTAGTCGTGATGGTTACTGTAGTCATGATTGTTGTGTAAAATACCATTAGCAGTTCATTGACTCGAGATCGCTTTATACCTGGCGGAAAAGCCCCACGTTGGGGTAATCCCACGCATCGCGGGTGCTTTTCCGGGTTTCCGCGTGGATGCCCCCGGAAAACACTTAACCCCAGATTTGGATCTCCGCACTATTTCCAGGTCTCAATCGAGGATTCTCATGTGAATGTTGGTGGAATTGGCCATATTGTAATGATAGGTGCGGATAACTTCGCCGTATGAGATGAGACGAGGCGTTGATTACGTTGATGGCTCGGATATCCGAGATCGACAATGCAGATCAGGCCAAAATAAGACATCAAGTTAAGGCATAAAATTCAGGCAGGGATATTGTGATTACATAATTTCAGGTTATTAGCCTGAGGCCACACGCCAAGAGTTCACATATCACCTCCCTACAACTTGCAAGCGAGAAGATTCACAGTGAAGAGGGAAATGCACGATGGGCAGCCTGGCCATGCAGGCAAGACGAGGACGACACAACAACACCAACCATCCAGGACGATCAGCTAGCAAGCATAGGGATCACGTAGACCACACCATAGCATACAATCTCCTAGCGCACAAACATCTCGCAACTCGTTTTTCATTTCAGGGGTGATGATCCTTCTAGACTATCTGCTCCCCGAGACTCTACTTGACAACCAGGCTTTCGTTTTCTCTGCCTGAGGGACAAGGCCGCTAAACTAGGCATCCCGACTTTCCCCACTGCAACAGATATATTAAGCAAAGAAACCAAAAAAGGAACGCATAAGAGATATAAAGTAGCCAACATATTGTAAGGATCTTTTGTTTCTTGGCGCAAACAGGATAGTTCTTCCAAAGCTGCCTCAAGCCCTATATTGACTACTCAAGGCTAGGAAAAGACAGAGACATCACATTTGCCATCACTCCACTTCACAGCCTGTTCCTTGGTAGGATACACATCGACAAATGCCAAGTATGGTGATTTATCCGAGCCTTTCTGATCACTGCACGCCTGCTGGAAGCGGGCGGTCAAATCCTCCTCCTTTGATGCTGGAGTTGTCAAAAAGCAAGCGCGTTCGCAAAGTTTTCCTTTCATATTGTCGCAAACAGCCTTTCGCTTTTCGGCGACCGTGTCTGGTAAGTCAACACCAGTACAACGGGCTTCAACATAACGAGTCGAATCAAGAGTGCTAGGATCGCAAACCATCCGCACACCACCTGCCTCCATCACGACGCTCCATTTGCCTCCTAGACAATTAGCATCGCAACCTTTGTTGGTGCGGCAGTCTTGACCAGGGGTGTATTTTGCAGTAGCGGATGCAGCAAAGAGTGTGGTGATGGCGAGAAACAGCTTCATGATGCTTTTTGGTTGCACGAAGGTAGGGCCTGTGGTTTAGTTAGTGAAATGCATGGACGCAGTCAACGAGGCTTCAGAAGCTTACTAGGGGCGGAGGATGGATAGATATGTTGCAAGTCAGGAAATGGGTAGAGGATTCGTTATATTGGGGAAAAAGGGCTATCAGAGGACGGAGCCAGACCTTCTTATTTATAATGAGAAAGAGCGCTCCATGTTGAAGAAAGCGAGTGAGTTGCTTTTTCCTATACCTAATTTGTTAATTGCCTCGCATTTCTCATCCAGCTGAAATATGGGACTAATCCTAGTTAGGTACCTGGATAATGCAGGGCAAAAGCTTGAGTAAAGATATTCATGCCGGTAACTGTAAGGGAGAGGTCCGGTCAAATCGTGAATACTCTACAATAGGAAGACAGGTCCTATGGTGTCGGCTATCTGCCTCCTATGTATTGTCGATCGTTGTCGATCGTGCATCTTAATCTATGGAACGCTGGCAGGAATACTTGCAGATCCTTCAACCTTGCATGATCAGCGGGAAACCACTCAAAAACCATCAATAGTCGAACCTTAAGAGCAGAATCGGAAAGCTAAGAATAATAATACAGGCTACAGGGGATTCGAGTACAAATACCCCGGCGACAATCATCTGGTTTCTCTCCCTGCAGACAAGCTCCAGTCATCGCCTTTTCTTCTGTTACAAAACATCTACCTCTTCAAGTCAATCAACATGAAATCCACTTTTCTTGTTTCTCTTATACCTTTCGTACAGGGTGTCCTGGACTCCGCAGAGGTTGTAGGTGGCTCACCTGCTACGATCGACGACCTTCCCTACCTGGTCAGCATTTCGAAATCAGGCGTCTATAGTTATTATCAGCAACGACCGTGTTGTTACTTCCGCGCAGTGCGTATATGGCCTAGAGGCATCACCCACGATTCTTTCCGTGAGGGCAGGCTCAAGCAAAACGTCTTCTGGGGGATCTGCATGGACAGTATCGAAGATTGATCGGAATACTCGGTTTAACACTGACACCAATGATTTCGACGTTGCCGTGCTCGAGCTATTTTCTCCTCTCGTACCCGGCCCGACTGTCAAGCCGATTGAATTTATTCAGTCTGGTCAGGAGCCAGAGGATGGGACTGAATGCGTGGCTTCCGGCTGGGGTGACTCGGGAGGACAATTACAATCGGTTACACTCCCTATCGTGAACCGAGAAGAATGCAATCGAACTTATGCCGGCCAAGTCACCGACCGTATGATCTGTGCTGGCTCGGAAACTGGTAAAGGTACCTGTCCAGGAGACCGTGGTGGCCCGGTTACTTGCGGTGGTACATTTGCTGGAATCATCTCTCAAACTAATGGATGCGAACTACTTGGTCGTCCAGACGTTTTCACCGATGTTGCCAACTCTTATATTCAATCTTGGATACAGGATCAGTAATGGCAACTTGCAGCAGGTATTTGCCCACTGAAGTTCTGCGCTAAAAGACAGAACGGGGTGGATGAATACTGTAGAGTTTCAAGGACCGTCACAATTTCAATGTTGTATTTAGCAAACAGTGTTTATTTAAGCCCAAACTAGGAGCACCAACGTGAGCATTTGACTTGATTGAGCATCTATTAAGAGAATGTAGCTTCCGCAAGTTCTCAATATAATATCTAGCCTGGCTGCAATATTGTATCAAAAGTATCGAAGTATAAAATATGTGGCAGAAAAGAACACTTGCATACCAATCGAGCTCAGTTGTTACGTAGTTATATGGTCCAAGTCTATTATTAGTAAAAGATTCACTGTACACATCTAAATTCTAATATACATCTTGTCACTTTAAACACGGCACAACCGACCGTTCTGATCTGGAAGACCGTCAAGGCTCTTGACAACCCAATCCTCACTGCCAACAGCAGTAGGCGCATAGAACAAGCCAGTCGGGTCATTCCGCTGCTTAATCTTATACAAGCGGCCATAGTTGGTACCATAGAAAGCCTGCTCGAACTTCGGCTCGTTGATATCCGACTCGGACATGTACGCGCCAGAGTCAGGGCAAACAGCGCGCCACTTGCCAACGGCATCGGTGAGGCCCTCCATCTTGACTTTGATATCGGCATCGGAGGCGGTATCTGTCCAGGACGTCGACGTGATGGCGTGCATCACCGCCTGGCGGAAGGCCGGGTTTGCAGCATTGGGGGTGAAGCCCTCTTGCAGCTCGGCTTTCAGGTTGAATGCGAGCAATGCGAAGCCGTCAGTAAGAGTGGAGCGCAGGGCAGCGAAGGTAGCGTTGAATGAGGCGGGGGTGGCCCAATTAGCCCGTGGGAAGAGGCGAGAGCCGGTCATCATAGTTGGTGAGGCGACTGATTCGAGAGGGAATCCGGCCATCCAGGCGTCGTAGAAGTTGTCGTAGTAGGTCGTGTTTGGCTGGATTGCGATGCCTAGCTCTTGGAGGTCATCGTACCATGGCTTGACTAGGGTGTTGAACTGGTCCACAGTGTGGTTGACGGCGAAGAAGGGGTTCATTATGAAGGTGAAGGCGTCAGTGCCTGTGGGCAGCACCCAAAAGTAGGCGTAGGTGCCGGCGTCGGCGTGGGTGGGGAAGCGCTCCAAGTATGATCGGACGCCAGCAAAGAAGGTGTCCACAGAGATATTCTCGCTAGTTGAGAAGCTAAATGTCGAAAGAGTCACACCGACCTTAGGATAAACACGAGAGATAATCGAAGTGACGACTCCATAGGTTCCTGATGGGAATATGTTAGATGAAATATCGAGAAGAGAAAGCGAGAAAAAGTACACATACCGCCGCCGCCACCACGCAGAGCCCAGAATAGATCGGGATTACTTTCTTTGGTCACTGTGACGAAGCGTCCATTGGCCAGCACGACCTCAAGGGCCAAGACTTGGTCAGCAGCCAGGCCGTACACGCTAGACATGGGCGAATGACCGCCGCCGAGAACGTAGCCACCGGCAACACCGACAGTCTAATAAAGTCAGTTATCTCACCAAATGATGATACTTTCGGAATGACCAACTCACCTTGCCTTCGCCGCCAACAGCGGTGAATCCGAGTTCCTTACTCTTCTCATAGACTTCAAATGCCTGCACACCTGATCCCAGCTTGACAGCGGGACCCCGATAGCCGGAGCCGCTATAGTTCTCAATGTAGTCGATGTCCTTAAGGTGGTGGGTCCAGATACCCAAAGCACCAGCACCGGTTGATTTTCCATTGAAGTCATGACCGGTGTTCTTAACCACTAGACGGATGTCCGCGTTGCGTGCGAAGTTGACAGCAAGCTGGATTTGAGCTACAGTGCTCACATTCACAGCATAGCTGCTGTAGCCACCAACTGTGCAAGACGCAGAGGCATTGGTAGTGGGAAGGCAGGTTCTTCCCTCAAACAGAGGCCACATTGCCGAGGCTGGGTCAGCAGCACTAATCGTGGAGTCAGTATAAGTCCATGTATCATACATGTGTAGGGAGCGACTAACTGAAGATTAGAGTCGTTCCAATCCGAGGTAACTCTCTCGCATTCAGCGCTGTCATATTCGGGCCATGAAGAATAGCAAGACGCCGCTAGGGGGACCGTCTTGATCAGCGCGCCACCGAGGAGGTTGTCCAAGGTCGACCATGCAGACTGCGACGGCCAATGGCGGTCACCGGGGAAAACCTTGCATTGCCCTGAAGACAGCGTGGTCTTATCAGTGCCATTGCTGTCGCCAAATTTAACCAGGGCTGACTGCTGTCTGTTGAGCTTCGCAATGTCGCGATCTGTCAATTGAACCTTCTCACTGTCAAACAGCGGTGCACCAGCTGAAGCCTGACCAACGCGGGCATCTCCGGGGGTGACCAGCAGGAGAGCACCGAGCAAAACGCTCGTTATAGTCGAACAAGGAGACATGGTGAGCGCGTGAATGGGAAGAAGCTACACCGGGGATCGGCGTGATTGGGAAAAAGTGGCCAATGGAGACCTTTTAAATCAATTCTCCGGCGCTCGCCAGCATAAAATGTGCATGGTACGATACTAGTTAGTTAGCGCAACGTGGATAGTACTTTCGTCGCTATGAGGTTGGCATCCAAGAGGAAATGGCGCTTGTTTACTTCGCCCCCACAGCAATTTAGAATGTCTCGTTCCAGCCCTCTCCCACTCCACTTCTCGTGTATCTCTTCCAGCGAAAATCGAAATATGTATGAAGCTAGAGCTAGAGATGGTCTTTTCTCCGGGCCTCCCCGTTCGGTAAAAAATTTAAGCCACACTTTACCTGTGACGCGCGGAACGAGTTCTTGCCGTGTTATTGAGAATACAAGTCCAACCGAGATTGTCGCCATTAGCTTATTTCCATTCAGTGCGGAGTACTCCGGATAGCGAAGCAACCGTGCCTATTCCCACTCTACTCCGTACCGGTCGGGATGATCAGGGTTTCGATCTTCTCTTGTTCTCTTGTTCTCTTGTTCTCTTGTTCTCTCGTTCTCTCCACGGCCGAGAGAGTGTTGCAAGGAACAACGCAAGCCAAGAAGTACTCCGTACAAAAGACGTGAACAACCGCTACTCCGTATACGAGCGGAGTTTTTCCTTTCGGCTTGACTCTATGTTGTACGGAGTAAACATGGTCTAGCCGGGCTCCATGCTCCATTCCCCGTCCGCGATGGTCCACTATGCTCCACCTAAGTACGGAGTACTAGATCCGATCTGTTTTCTGAGCAATGAGAACCTTGAGCGCAAGGGACTAGGAGGATGTTGCATTTCATCTAATTTTGCCAAGGGTCAGAACTAAAAAAAACCAATGAAAACTTGTTAAATGACGCAGAACCGGGGATTTCGTCGTGGGGGCCAAATATATACGGAGTGTTCTGTCCGAGATATCGAGCTAGACCGATGCACTCATACATACTATCGCTGACGTTTGATCCTTGATGATCCACCATCGGGCACATTCCTGTACTTGCTGAAACAACCACTTGGACACATTCAATAACACCGGCATAAGTGTATAATTGGAGGAGTTCTCACTCCCACCTGTTGTATCCCCCTTATACAACATAAGGATGAGCTGCAGATGTAACGCTGCAAGAAACGATTAAGCTTTGACTAGTTAGCTTGCGAGAGGTGACTGCTCTCGTTATGCAAGTGGTATCCCATCAGTGTACTCCACCCGCGGCGCTGATTACGAGATGGCAGATCCGCTGGGCGGGCCGCGTGTTGATGTTGTTGGGGATTTTGAAATGCGCAAGTATAAGCGTGGGGGTAGTGATAGTGCGTTGAGTAGTGAGGATGGTAAGAGCATTATGAAGACGACTGATATCTCGGTCGGATATAGTATGGAGCCCCGGGTGGAGGATGGTCGGTCGCAAGATGGTAGGCCGGCCAGTGTAGATAGTATAGTTTAATCACCTTATATACATCATAGATACGATTTACGAATTCAAATGGCCAATAGCCTACTTGAAGAAGAAGGATATCAAAATGGGCCGAGGATCTACTCCAATTTCGGATATGAGGGGTTACTCTGCATACATAAGGTATGGGGTTTCCCCTCTTATAACATCACTTACCTGGTCAATTTAGTGAATTTACCTTGTTTTCATATTCAAATCATTCTTGATTCGTCGATATGGCGACTCACTACCAGCTACCATTCAAGGTATGGCTTCTATCCCTCCCCGCGGGGTTCGGCGAGATGTCCGAAGTGTTGAGCTAACACTTTTTCCAGCTCGCGGATCCCAGTCTGCTGAAATTTGACTCCATTATCGGCGACAAATGGGTCGGTGCAAAGAGCGGAAAGCGGTTTGAAGTACTGGGTAGGTGAAAGTGCATTATCCTCCAAGAGCTCACGACTAACATATCCCACGCAGACCCCGGCACCGACAAAGCGTGGGCCAGCTGCCCCGCCAACGCAGCAGAAGATGTATCCGCCGCCGTGGAAAATTCCCACGCAGCCTTCGAGCAATTCCGAAAAGTCAACCCACGCCAACGCGCCAAGTGGCTACTAGCATGGTACAACCTAACTGTAGCGGCCCGCGACGACCTCGCCCAGATCGTAACATACGAAACCGGAAAGCCACTAGCAGAAGCATACGGCGAGATCGACTACTCTCTCGGCTTCCTATGGTGGTTCGCCGGCGAAGCAGAGCGCATCCAGGGCAGCGTATCAACAGCCGCCGCGCCGAACCGTCGCCTATTCACCATCAAGCAGCCGATCGGCGTAGCAGCCGCTCTCGTTCCGTGGAACTTCCCCGTTGCCATGGTTCTACGGAAAGTCGGTGCCGCACTGGCGGCTGGCTGCACGATGGTCGTCAAGCCCAGTCCCGAGACGCCGATTTCGGCGCTGGTGCTGGCAGAGCTGGCGCATCGTGCTGGTATCCCTGCTGGTGTGCTAAATGTGCTCACTACGGACTTGGAGAATACCCCGGCGCTGAGTGAGGCGTTATGTAAGCACCCGCTTGTCAAGAAGGTGACGTTCACGGGCTCGACGCGGGTGGGTAAGCTGGTGGCTGCGCACTGTGCGCATGGTCTTAAGAAAGTGACTCTCGAGCTCGGCGGGAATTGTCCGTTCCTTGTTTTCGACGATGCGAATCTCGATCAGGCGGTTGAGCAGCTGATGTCGCTGAAATGGCGCCATGCGGGCCAGGCTTGTATCACTGCCAATCGGATCTATGTGCAGGCTGGGGTTTATGATCGTTTTGCCGCTCTTCTGAAGGAGCGCACTGCCGCGATTGTTGTTGGTCATGGTGCTGCGGCTAACACCACGATGGGACCGTTGACGACACCTCGTAGTATTGACAAGGCCTCCGCGCAAGTTCAGGATGCTCGTCGGCTCGGTGCTGATGTTATTTTGGGTGGTAATTCTCTGACGTCGAAGCCGGGTTATTTCTTCGAGCCCACAATCTTGTCAGGAATGACAGCGGACATGGCCATCTCGCATGAAGAATCATTTGCGCCTATTGCTGCGCTATATCGGTTCGAGACTGAGGATCAGGCTGTCAAGCTGGCTAATGACACCAGCATGGGTCTGGCCAGTTATGCTTTCACCAAGAATATCGATCGCATGTGGCGGCTCTTGGAAAACTTGGAGGCGGGAATGATCGGAATGAATACAGGTGGGTTTCCTATGATCAAGTCCAATCATTCTAATCAATCTAACGAATTCGCACAGGCAACTCATCGGCTGCCGAGTCGCCTTTCGGTGGTCTTAAGGAGTCTGGTTATGGCAAAGAGAGTGGAAAGGACGTGGCTGTCAATGAGTACTTGGTTACCAAAACAGGTACCTTGACAATTGAGGGACAATATTGAGTACACATCATAGTACATATGCATTCTTTATAGATCCTCTCGATCATCTCGAACTGAAATGAAATTTATGTATTCTCTTGATTGTGATTGGTCAGCTGAATCCACTTCAAGCACTGATTGGCTACAATCCGGGGAGATCTTTTCAATATCAGATTTTCTTCACTACACCAACTATTCTTCTCATCATGGACCACCTTAGTCCGCTACGACACCTGATTCGGTCTCACCCGCTTATTGACAGCCATTCCCACAACCTACTGAACCGCGAATCAGCCGCCGACTATGAAAATTACCCGTTGGAAGCCATCGCCTCCTCAGCAGACGGTCGGGCCTTAGAAAATGCACGCACCACCCTCCCCTCGCTGCGGGCCATAACCCAGCTCTCCGAGCTATACGACCTCCCATGCACAAACTGGAAAGACATCCAAGCTGCCCATGATCTCTACGTGAGCGAAGACTACGAAAACTTAATCCGGAACTCTCTATCAGGCACGCACGCACTGCTCCTCGATGATGTTCTCAGCTACGACGAAGACATCGCATCATCTATCTGGCACGATAAATTCACCATCTCCGGGACAAAACGGATCGTACATATCGAAGCCATGGCCGAGGCCACAATCCTGCAGGTATCGAACTCGCGCAAGAACGGCGAATCAGTCTGGAACAGTTTCCGACAGCGATTCCAGGACGCTCTCGGCGAGGCCCTGGACGACGCCAACATCGTTGGGTTTAAATCGGAAATTTGCTGTCGGACCGGACTGGACGTGGATGCTTATTCCTCCGATGACACCACTCTGGGCGGGTCATTGATTCGCATCCTCGATTCTGGCACAACAAGGTCTGGCTTCGCGGTCGATGATAAACATATATGTGACTGGATAGTCCAGCAGACGTTGAAAGCGATCTGCTTTAAAAAAAGAGCCGGTGTTGTGAAACCTTTGCTGTTCCATACCGGCTTGGGAGATAATCGGATTAATCTTTTGCGAGCTAACCCTGCGTATCTGCAGCCTTTGATCGCGCAGTACTCCGACGCGGACATCGTGTTGTTGCATGCTGGATACCCCTACACCCGCGAAGCGGGTTATTTGGCATCTGCTTATCCCAATGTCTATCTTGATCTTGGGAAGGTCTTTCCCTTGGTTAGCCGAGAGGCGCAGGTGAAAGTCTTGAGAGAAAGTCTAGAACTTACGCCCACCAACCGTCTGCTCTGGGGTACCAGTGGCCGGTTTCACCCGGAGACGTTCTGGCTGGCTAATCGACAGTTCCGCCAGGCTCTTGAGACGGTTAGTTCCAAGACTTCTTTTCTATTAATTGCCTTTTCCTATGCTCATTTTCCTCTGCTTTGCAGGTTCTCATGGGTTATGTTGAATCTGGTGACTTCACTACGTCCCATGCCATGAAGATAGCAGCAGATGTTCTGTTCTATAACTCCAATCGGCTTTACGGTCTTAACTTGACTCCATCATACACACCTGGAGAGTAAACTGCTGACTATGCGAGGATGTTGAGCCCCGAAGGTATGTCCATGTCTTTCATTTATATTCCTCAGATGCATCCTGACAATTATCTTGTCAGCTGGTGCTTTTACTTTCACGCTCTCTCAATGCACTTGGATATTTTCTGTCGAGGTTGATCCCCGATCACTGAGTCTCAGATCTCCCAAAGGTGATACGGGCCTGTGAGCACTGCTAGTGCCAGAGTATAGGTAGAACTCCGTTTCGTGAGGTAACTGAATTTCATATCCACTCCGAATAAGGCTATACTGCTCCGTATTAAGACGAATGTTTGAAACCGTTCAGGCGATGACGTCATTGTAGTATTGTAATGTTTATACTAGCAAGTTGCAAAGACAACCGTCTCTCCAATAACCCAAAAGATACCGGCGGTTGCTTCTTTCGGCGGTTGAGATTCATATTACGCAAGGGCATTATCGTGATGCTGGTGATAGTGCTGAAGAGTTATTAGCCATTTAAGGAGCCTGAACCAGATCGACATAGTGGATCATTTAGACGTCCGAGCTTACATCGCCTTTGCACGTTTGTCCCAACTACAGATGACACTTGCAAAGATGGTCAAACCTCCTTGCGTGGAACAAATTCTACAATCCACTAGAAAGGGGCACTTTCACTTGTTGCATCCCATCCTATATTACGCGATTTCTATACATTGGACGTTCTCGGAGACGCAAATGGGAGCTTGGGAAGTTATAGGAATCGTTTCATCTGACATTAAACTCCGAAGCTATGCGTTATGAGGCACTTGCTGGCAGTATGAGAAGATATTCATAACCCTCTGGGAGCTTACCCAATGGCCAATCCCACTTCTTCTCGACCACCGCCAGCGCCTTCAATGGCTCTTTGTGGTCCACAAAGAACTTGGTATTCACGCCCGAAACAATCCCAGTCGTATCCTTGCCGTCGAATATGGTTCCACGCAGCTCGGCATCTCGAATGTAAGGCACCGGGGAAGTCGACATGGTTTCATTGGCGTTCTTAGCAATGAAACCAAGGTCTACCTTTTCGATAGTCCCTACTTAGGATAAGTATCACGCCTCCAGAGCTTTTTGTGTGATACTTACTATCAAAAGCTTTGACGGCAGCCAGACAGGCAGCTGGATGTGAGCTCATCACGCCGTAGATATTATCGTGGTCTTTCCTGAGTGTTCGCAAAAGACTCGTCGCAAGTCCTTTACCACGGTGGTACCGATCGACCACCAATTGAGTGATCCAGCAAACAGTCCCACCCTTGCAAGTCCAGCGGCAGCCGAATGCATGTCCGACAAGTTTTCCTTCGATAATCACCCTGCTGTAAAAGCTCCCACCACTTTCGTTGGAGCTTGTGGGTAGGTACTGTTCGCGTAGTCTTCGCACATTTAACTTAACCGGCTTTCCTACTAAAAGTTAGATGTTTTGGAAAGAAAGCTTTTGACTTACTCACCGGGATTACTTGAAAACTCGCCCCATGTGCCATAGTTTTCGTTGAAGAGCTGAGCGGCTTTGATCAGTATGTCGTCCGTAACGTTCTCCGCAGGGATAGTCTCGTAGGTTTGTGACGCCATGCTGAAGTGTCTTTGAACATGAGTGTTTTCAATTAGTTTTAAGTGAGTTAACACCGCGGGGGTAGGATGAGTCATGACGATGGTTTAGTTATGCAAGTCCCCGTTGACGTACATGTGAGGGGGTCGTTTATGTACTACAAAAATAGGAATCTTTCCATGTAAAAGTTACCAGTATCATGTATGTATATTGAATTCTCATTTCTCATATTAGAACGGAATGTGATCGTGATTTTTTTTCCATGCCGTCCTTCCCTCGTCCCAAATCGTATACATATCGCAAGGTCAGCAGAACAATCCAGCGCCCACCTGAAGTAAAAGACATCTATGTGCGTGTAAATTTTAATCGCCAAATCAAATCCAAATATAAGACACGCGTATACCACCGCGAGGGTATATCGTTGCACGCCGTCCGATTTTGAGCGTCGTGGAAGAAGCAAAAGCAAAAAGAAAAGGTATACCAACTCCAGCCGTCGCTTCCCGTGTATCCAGCTTTGGTCTGGCACAATGCAGTGTTAATCAATAAATAGCTCAAACAATAGCAGTTGTTGGAATGTGTATGTGAGAGTGGGATATGGTAGGGGAGAGATAGAGGGAGGGAGAGAGAGACAGAGAAGGAGAAATCAAAGTGTCCATTGTCTGATATGATAGTATTGATAATGTTATAGCAACACGATCAACACTGATCACTTCTTCAGGTCAACGACAGATTGATATCATAGGGCTATGATGAGTACAAAAAAAAGAAAGAAAATAAACGCCAAAAAAAGTGGTACATGTCGTGTGCGGTTTGGTAGGGTGTCAGGGTGTGAGAGTGAGAGGGTGAGAGGAAGAAGAAAGGAGTAGGGAGATAGATGGTCGAGACAAGAGATGCTAAGAGCCAGGGCCATCGGACACATCATCGCAAGCAAAAACGAAGGGAGTAAAGGCTAAAAACCAGCAAACAAAACGAGGGTTTCAGAAACAAGCTCGCACGCCGAACCAAAATGGACGAAAACATGCTAGTTCAACATGCCATCTTCCGTTCTGTTAGCATTTCATCCCTTTCCCACTCATCTAGTAGTCGTGCTACTTCTCTGAAAGATACCGGCTTGGTAAGGAATAGATCCACACCAGAAGCCATAGCATCCGACTCATCGCGAGAGCTGCTGAGTCCGGTCAAGGCAATGATGATAGCCGGCTTGCGGCCATCTATATCCCTCTCCAGCGAGCGAATAGCACGGGTAGCCTCGAACCCATTCATTACCGGCATCGACATGTCCATGAAGATGATATCATAACCACTCTGCATGCGCTCGACTGCCTCAACGGCCACTTTGCCATTATCAGCTGGGTCCAGTTCGGTCAGCTGGCGCTTTCTGAGGAACGTCATCATCAGGTTGAGGTTTATGCGATTATCGTCAACCACAAGCACTCGGGCTAGTCGTCGAGGGCGGATTTCACCCTCTACCAATGGTGCCGGTAGAGGGGATTCTCCAATCTCCTCGGGCAATGTGCTGATTCCTGGGGGATGTTGCAGTGGTGATATCGTCATGGGGCGGACTCCGGGACAGTCCGGCCCCAGTTCGGGGGCGCTATGGGCATCGGCAGGGGAGATGAGGGGCGAATCGAGTGCGGATGGCAACGAGGACGTCCTAATCGGTAGACTCGTTGGTTTCAGAGCGGAAGACGGCGTCACAGATGTCGATTGGCCGTGGGTCAAACACCTCATGATGCTTCGGGCTAATTTGTGTGGCCCACAGGGACGCCGGATGATATTCACGGAAGCAGCAAGAGGCATCCACTCGGATTTGGCACCAGTATAATCCATCGACTTGTGGCATAGGACGAGAAGAGCAGGCAAGGTGGCAGTGGGTGCAATGGTGCGGAAATTTGGTAAATCATTTTCATCCATAAGCACAAGATCAACATCGGCTTCCGGTGTCCATGCGACGATCTCTATAGCATACCAGTCTGAAAGGTATCGAGCAATTTCAGACCAGTTAGAGTCGGCAGTCACGTCGGTTGGGTCGACGCCCCAGATGGAGGCTCGTCTACCAGGGTATGCTTCGCGTAGTAGAAGAGTTTGCGCCAAAGTTTCTCTTTGTTGGATAAGCTGACCAGATGGTTCGACGGGCGGGCTTTCCTTGCCAACAGGCCGCTCCAGGGGTAGAGATACATGTACAACAGTGCCCTCCCCAGGATGGCTACGAATTCGAATGCTTCCATTCAGAGCTTTGACCAAACTGCGAACAATTGAAAGTCCCAGTCCAGTACCGACAGCCAGGGAGTCTTCCTGAGCAAAAGGCGTGTAAAGCTTGCTGCGCAAAAACTCTTCTGATATACCTTTGCCCGTGTCGGTTACTGTCAACGTGACCAAGTCTTCGAGGCCTTGCCGCCGGGATCGTCCTTCAGATTGACTAGATGCTGACAAGGATAAAGTGACTCGGCCAGAGTCTGTGTATTTCATGGCATTCCCAAAAATATTCATGATGATGCGCCGCAAAGCCCCCGGCTGAGTCCGGTAGACCCAATCCCCGAATGAGACATCGATTACAACTTCGACGTTGGACCGGTGATTCTGCGACTTTGTTTGATGTGGCATCAATACAGGCAGGTCCGCTGAGGCGGTAGAGCTCTGGCCGTACACATGGCCAAGACAGATGCCTTCAACGACTTCCTCGGCGAGAATAGCCACATCGGAAGCCACGAGCGTATCCAGATGATGCGGCAACTTGTCGGATCCTTTGAAATCGAGCGGCGACTCTTTCTTGCGTTTCATTGTCCGCCAGGTCCGTTCCAAAGATACCACTTTGCTGAAGTCAAGTACCTGATTCATTGTATCCAGTAATGTCCGGCCACAGGAATTGACGGTTTCAAGCAATGAGTTCTGGAATTCATTGAGATGGGTGCTGTTCAAAAACTCGGCAGCGGCCAAGATTCCATGAAGAGGACTACGGAGTTCATGTCTAGTGAAGGATAGTAATTAGTAACTGCTGTCCGACATGTCGAATATCTCCTAGAGGCTAAGAAAACTTACGAAATACTCCCAATGAAATCACCCTTCTGGCGATCTGCGATGAGGGATTCAATGCGGCTATATTCAGCCATTATAGACGATGAAAACCCAAGCACTGAACTGAGCTCGACTGAGTTGGTGAACACCTGGGTCTCAATTGTGCTCCAGCAGAAACACCCTCCGAACCACTGCGAAGAAACAGCATTCCATAAAGGCACGAATATAATTTGCGCGGCATGTGGAAAATACTGATTGAGTACCGAGTTTTCCGCAGCCTTCCGTCGCTTTCGCGTTGCCTTTGAGAGCTGTGTAGCACTAGGTGGAGACCGGCTGGTGGTACTGGTGCCACGAAGGGCCTTGTCTTGGGATTCTTGGTCGTCATCATCTGAGGTCGAGAGGAGCCCATCGCGGTGAAAGGACCATAGCTTTCCTTTGGGATAGCGTCGAAGCAACAATTGCAGGAAAGATCGGTCTAGGTTGGCCGCAGGGCATGTGGCCATCGACCCTGCTTGGGGAGCAAACGGTTCTTCGTTCGTTGATGCTGACAGTACAGAGGCGGGTCCGCCAGTGTCGGAACAATCACTACCCATTTCGGTATCCATCAAAGGGCTATTGTTGGCTTCTAGAAAAATGACCCCACCGTCGCCACCCAGGTCAAGACTCTCGCGAAGTAAGTTGGCTGCTCTGCGGAAACACCAAGAGTTGCCTTGTGAATCATCCGGTGGTAGTTTATTTCGGCTGCTGCTTGTCAGCCATTCTGGCAGAGAGCTCTCTACTGTACCCGACTCTACTTTCGAACCGTTGTCCAATTTCGAACTATTGCCCAATTTCGAATCGGACGAGACAGAGCTGAAGGAACGCGCGTCGGTGCTGAGTGATCGATCGTTCGGTGGACTATTGGACGGCGCTTGCGATGCGTTTTCTGAGCCATTTCCACGAGAGCCACCAGAGCCACTCATTCGATTGTAAGAAGATGCCGGAGTTGCTGACGAAGGGCCGATACTGGCGGTACGCGATGGGTCGATATTATCCACGAAACTAGAGCTTCCTTCAACAAAATAGCTGAGCCCGCGGGAAAGGCGCGCGGCCCGGCGTCCTTCAGACGCCTGTCTGCAAATCTTCAAATAGTCCATCACAACCGTCGACAGAGATCCCAGTGTATCCTTCTCCAGCGGTGTCAATCCATCTCGGGGTTTTGTATCCAGCACGAAAAAACAACCCAAATTGATATTCTTCTCGGTTGTCAAGGGAGTTCCGGCGAAAAAGCGGAAGTTGGGTTCGTTTTCGACGAAGGAAAGGTGTTTGTAGCGCTCGTTTTCGGCCATGTCGTTCACGACTAGAAATTGGTAGTCTGCATTCTCGCGGTCATTGGGGGGTAATGAAACAGTGTCCTGTCGAATGGCGTCAAAATCGGGAATTCATAGAAATAAACAATGCGGTTGAGCTCGACAATGGCTCCGGTTCAGCCAGCTCGTCGAATGAGCAAAACTTACCTTGCATAAACTCCATGTCTTTCGGGTGTCGGGTGCCCCCAACCAGACATTGTCATTGTCGTCGTGAATTGTCGGATCGTTCAAATTGAGAGATTGTGTTGCTTCGGCAATGATGTGTTGCTTATCACGGTCTAATACAGTTATAAACACCCGCTCCACGTTCAGGCGCAATGCCGCTAGCTGCGCAAACGATGTCATGGTACTATTCGAGGTGCCTAGAATGAGAGCTTCTGTGCCAACTGCGGTCGCTGGTCGGAAAGTTGCACTGCTGTGTGAAGGCATTGAGCCTTCGGACATCGGTGGAGTGATTGTACTTCCTGAAAGTGAAGAAAAAGGGAATCCATCATTCACCGGAAGCCAAGATGGAACCACCTCGGCTTGGGAACTAGGCTGGTAGTAACGGTATAGCTCCCTCGCCCTGCGATCTGCATTGTGTAGGCCATCATGGCGTGCTTTAGGAACAGTCATGGTTTGCTGCTAGCGTTAGAAGACTGAGGATACAGTGCTGCATC